AGTTTCGAGGTGTTTGACAGATGCAAGAGGAAAGTGGTGGTGACGGCGAATCCGACGTTCATGGTGGAGCCGTTTGTGAAGGATTTTCTCGGTGGAGACAAGGTTTTAGGCACAGAAATTGAAGTGAACCCCAAAACAAAGAAGGCCACGGGGTTTGTCAAGAAGCCTGGGGTTTTAGTAGCGGAGTTGAAGAGACTGGCCATTTTGAAGGAGTTTGGAGAGGAATCACCTGATCTTGGAATCGGCGACCGTGAATCTGATCACGATTTCATGTCAATTTGCAAGGTTCGTCTTCTTGCTACTTACTAGTACTTGTTCTGAACATCTTACATCAATCTCATGACTTTCATATATTCACGGATGCTTAGTAGTGTATATCAAGCTTTGATTCAGTGATTTTTCCTTTTTTCTTTTTCTCTTTCTCAATATTGAGAAGAATTAATATTCTTTTCTTTTTGTCTTAAATAAGTGAAGAGTAAACGTGGTAATCTTGCTAAACATATTTATTTATATCATTAAATTCATGGTAGGTATAACTTGATGTTCTTAAATTGCTTGTTGCTTTCATCTATTTGCTACCCTTTTGACCACTTTAATTAGCCTGAGAAGGTCAGTAGTCTTGTTTATTTTGGTACAAGAAAATAAATATTGTTTTTTATTGGAAAGAAGGAAAATTTAAATTTATTTATTTGAACGAAGACAGGTACTGTAACTACTAAATTGAATGTACGAGTAAAATAAATATTGTCCATTACGCTTAAATAGCCTAAACAATTTGAAGTGAAAATATAGTCGAATTCGATCAGTGAAGTAGCGGCAAGACAGCAAACACTTGGGGTTAGGTTAATGAATGAGTTGGATTGGACCCACAATCTTAACGTCGCTCAACGGCCCGCCAGCGGAAGTAGCTGCAGCATCGCATAAATTTTTGTACTTTTTGGACGCAAAGATAAATGGGTTATCATTGACTCATTTTGTCTAAAGCTATAAGTTTAAAATTTCCATTTAAATTTAGGCATGTAATTATTGTAGTATTATTTAATGTTTAGGGGTATAGTTACTTAATAAGTCTTAGATTTGTCAAAAGTGTCAATTTTGCTAATTAAATTTATGAATTTTGATGGGAAATGAATTGTGATAAACTATTGGTGCGATGTACGTAAACAGGAGGGCTACATGGTGCACCCTAGCAAATCAGCAACGCCTGTACCGCTCGATCGCCTAAAGAGCCGCATCATCTTCCATGATGGTCGCTTTGTCCAGCGCCCGGACCCGCTCAATGCCTTGATCACCTACATGTGGCTGCCATTTGGCTTCATCCTATCCATCGTTCGCGTTTACTTCAATCTACCTTTACCCGAGCGTATCGTACGCTACACATACGAAATGCTGGGCATCCACCTCGTGATCCGCGGGAAGCGTCCTCCCCC